TAAGTCAAATCACTCAATAAGGTCCTTGGTTTAGGGTAACCCTTTTTCTTTTGTAAGCATTTTGTCAGGTTAAGGGACCAGTGTTTCTTTTTATAATAAATTTGAGTGGGACATTGTCTTAGTTCCTTTTGTGCTGCTATAACAAATACCTGAGACTGGATAATTAATAAAGAAAGGAGATTTATTTCTTACAGTTCTGGAGGCTGGGAAATCCAAGATTGAGGGGCTAACATCTGGTGAGGGCCCTTATGCTACATCATCTCATGGTAGAAGATGAAAGGGCAAGAGAGAGCAAGAGTTGGGGAGAACTCACTTTTGTAACAAACCTACTTCTAAGATAATAAACTCCTTCCTGTGATGACATTAATTCATTCATGAGGGTAAAGCTCTCATAACCCAGTAACCTCTCAAAGATTCCACTTCTCAACACTGCATTGGGGATTAAGTTTCCAACACTTTGGAGAACGTGTTCAAACCATAGCAGCTGGAGGCTGAGCAAGATGGCTGAATAGAAGCGTCCAGTGATCATCACTCCCACAGGAACACCAAATTTAACAGTTATCTAGGCAAAAAAAAGTACCTTCATAAGAACCAAAAATCAGATGAGCAGTCACAGTACCTGTTTTAAGCTTCATATCACTGAAAGAGGCATGGAAGAGGGTTGAAAGACAGTTTTGAATTGCTGATACCATCCCTCCTCCATGCCTCAGCAGCAGCTATGTGGTGAGGGGAATCTGTGCACTTGGGGGAGGGAGAGCACAGTGATTGTGGGACTTTGCATTGAAGCTCCGTGCTGCCCTGTCACAGTGGAAAGCAACACTGAGAATAAGCCAGTGCTCATGGAGGGGGCATGTAGGCTAGCCCTAGCCAGAGGGGAATTGTCCATCCTAGCAGTTGGAATTTGAGCTCTGGCAAGCCTTGCCACTGTGGACTAAAGTGCTCAGGGGTCCTAAATAAACTTGAAAGACAATCTAGGCCACAAAGACTACAACTCCTAGGCAAGTCCTAGTGCTGTGCTGGGCTCGGAGCCAGTGGACTTAGAGGGCATGTGACCTAGTGAGACACCAGTGGGGGCAGCAAAGGGAGTGCTTGCAGTACCCCACCTCCAACTTCAGGCAGCACAGCTCACAGCTCTGAAAGAGACCCCTTCTTTCTGCTTAACAGGTGAGGGAAGAGTAAAGAGAACCTTTTCTTGCAGCTTGGATACCAGCTTAGCCACAGAAGGATAGGGTCCAAGGCAGAGTCCTGAGACTCATTACAGGCCTTAGCTCCCAGATCACATTTCTAGACACACCCTGGGCCAGAAGGGAACCCACTGCCTTGAAATGAAGGACCCAGTCCTGGCAGGATTCATCACCTACTGACTAAAGAGTCCCTGGGGCCTGAATAATCAGCAGCAGTACCCATGTAGTACACACGTGGACCTTTGGTGAGACTCTGAGATCTGCTGGTTTGAAGTGTGGCCTAGCACATTCACAGCTGTGGTGGCTATGCCAAGAGATTCTTTCTGCTTGAAAACAGCAGAGAGAAGAACAAAGGGGGCTTTGTTTTGCAGCTAATTTAGCTTGACCACAGGGTGGTAGAGCACCAAGTAGGTTCTTGGGCTCCCTGATTCCGGGCCTTGGCTCTTCGATGGCATTTCTGGACCTGCCCTTGGCCAAAGGAGAGTCTGTTGCCCTGAAAGATGATTCCCAGACCTGGCAGCATTCACCACAAACTGATTGAAGAGCTCTTGGACCTTGAGTGGGCGTTGGCAGTAGCCTGGAAGTACTCCTTATGGGCCTGTGGCAGTGGTGGCCAGGAGGAGAGCCTCCTCTGCTATGGAAATGGGAGGGAAGAGTAGGAAGGACTTTGTCTTGTGCCAGTTCAGCCTCAATAGAATAGAGTGCCAGGTAGATTCCTAAGGTTTCCAACTCCAGGCCCTGGCTTCTGTACAGCATCTCTGGATCTTCCCAGGACCTGGGAGAGCTTGCTGTCTTGAGGAGAAGAACACGAGCCTGGCTGGCTTCACTACCTGCTTATTGTAGAGCCCTAGGGCCTTGAGCAAACATACGCAGTCGCCAGGTAATGGTTACAGCAGGTCTTGGGTGATACTCAATGCTGTGCTGGCTTCAGGTTTGACCTAGTGCAGTTCTAATGGTAGTGGCCACAGGGGTGCTTGTGTCACTTCTCCCCCAGTTTTAGACAGTTCAGCACAGAGAGACTCTGTTTGTCTGGGAGAAAGTAAGAGAAGACAAGAGTCTCTACATAGTAATCTAGAGAATTCTTCTGGATTTTATCAAGCCCACAAAGGTGGTGCCTCTGAGTCTGCAAGAGCCACAGTGTTACTGGGTTTGGGTGCCCCCTAATGCAGATATAGCTGCAGTGACCAAAAACTTAGATCACAACACCTACAGCCCTTTAAATACCTGGAAAGCCTCTCAAGAAGGACAGGTACTAATAAGTCCAGACTGCATAGACTAAAGTAAATAACTAACTCATTAATGCCCAGACACTGAAGAACATCCACAAGCATCAAAACCATCCCAGAAAACATGACTTCAGCAAACAAACTAAATAAGGGACCAGAGACCAACCCTCGAGATACAGAGACATATGACCTTTCAGATAGATAATTCAAAACAACAGTTTTGAGGAAACTCAAAGAAATTTAATATAACACAGAGAAGTAATTCAGAATCCTATCAGATAAATTTAACAAAGAGATTGAAATAAAAAGAATCAAGCAGAAATTGTGGAGTTGAAAAATGCAGTTGACATGATGAAGAACATGTCAAAGTGTCTTAATAGTAGAATTGATTAAGCGAAAGAAATAAAGAGCTTAAAGATAGGTATTCGAAAATATACAGTCAGAGGAGACAAAAGAAAACAGAATAAAAAAGAATGAAGCACCCCTACAGGGTTTAGAAAATAGTCTCAAAAGGGTAAATCTAAGAGTTATTGGCCTTCAAGAGGAGGGAGGGAAGGAGGGAGGGAAGGAGGAAGGGAGGGAAGAAAGGAGGAGGGGGGGGGGAGAGAGAGAGTTTATTTAAATGGATAATAACAGATAACTTTCCAAAGCTAGAGAAGTATATCAATATTCAAGTATAAGAAGGTTATAGAACACCAAGCAGATTTAACCCAAAGAAGACTACCTCAAGGCATTTAATAATCTAGCCATAACAGACCTAAAACTTGCTTTGTACTTCAACTAAACTTTATTATATAAACATTTTCAGGAAAGAAAACTTTATTTTATGTAGAATATAAGAATGTTCATAGGTCAGTACAGAGAGGGCATTTTGTCCCATTACTCTTCAGCACTCATATTAAGATGATTATTTTATTCTGAATTTCTAAGAAGAAATTTTCTCCCTTATTGTAAAAACGCAGATTTCCCGAGTGTCCTTGAATGATTTATTCATGGTCTACTTGTGTAGTAGCAAAAGAAAAGAATTATACATTACATTTTTTTTTTAATCTTGTGCAAGAGAGGAATTTAAAAAAATATATTTGGTAAGACCTTTAATAAAATTTTTAATGAGTTGTCTTTCCAACTCATAGTCATTACAAAGACTACTGTCTCCTCTATTATCATAACTCAGAACACTGTATTTCTTTTCCTAGCTGTCATATGTGTTGTTTCCACATTACTTTTGGTCTTTAAGTTAAATATTCCTCTTCTGTTAAAGAAAAACCAAGTTGTACCCATATGTAAGTTGTACTTAAATTACCCCTTGATAAATGTCATAAATATATTAATAACATTTTCTCCAAGATTTAAACATGATATATCACCAGTACTCTGAGCTGAATAAAGTTGCTCTATCATTAAGAAAACTTCCCCTTTCTTCCTTTATTACTGCCTTCCCCTACTTCTCCATAAGTTTTAATAATAGAATATTTGAAGAATGGATAAATGTCATATAATTTTTTATCTTGTATCTTTCTCTCTCTTATTAAACCCTAAATTCTATAAAGACAGAGGCTATACCTTTCTTGTTTATCTTTGTATGCTTAATGCCTAAGATTGGTATATAGTAGGAATTCAGTAAATTAGTTGAATGAATGAATAGTAGGACATATAATATGAATGCTGCTCTTAGAAATTGACTTTGTTGAAAATCTATTTCTTGTATATTGAAATATATTACAAAATACAGTGAGGAGAAATAACAAGAAAAGAATATTTTCAATATGAATATTTTAAAACTGAATTTGCTACTTGCTTTTTAACACTTAAAGAATAGTCCAATCAGCAATCAATTTAAAGTAGTTTTTGAAACTCAACTTTTTGGATTAATACTTGGAGCTACATTTGATCATGTGACCTTTATTAGCTCAACTAACGTAATTTATGGCCCAACTAAATTAAAGTAGTTTGAAGGCATAACATGGAAATACTCATACTTTTACCATGAGTATCAGTTTTAAGGGTTTTAATTGAAACATGATGTAGACTATGTAGATAATAGCATTTTTATTGTTTATTTCAAATTGTAACTTGAGAATTTTAAGGATTGAAGAATATTTCCAAGTATAACAGAAAATTATATACTCTTGGGTTCAGAAATTATTATTTAAGCAAAATAGTGCAGTATAAAAAGCCTGACTAATCAGAAACACAAGGACCACAGTAAGTGTACATAACTCCCCCAAACAGTGGTAGTGTGGACTGTTCATTTAATTAAAAGTATGTACAAACACTGCAGTTACTTAGGAGACATGATAAAACAACCACAACAACAACAAAAAAAAAACTAACTACCATGTGGGTCTTGATAAGGTAGAAAGTAGTCAGAAATTTAAATTTGATATATTATGAACTTTAATATGGCCGCTTGTTTAGAAAGGCTATTAATACTTGGCCATACAGCAGCATACTTGGAGAATAAAATTCTACTCAAGGTTTCATAATGTCTTTTCGGCTCTACCTAATTGTAGTATCTCTGTTACTATTTGCCTAACTTTTGTCCCTTTGTGACTTTAAGGGTATATTTTTATCCTATATCTTTCTCTAGGCATCCACAAGGACAAAGATAAACCTCCCAGCTTCTCTGTTGTCCTTGAGACGTTGAGGCGTACCTTGACAGATTACCAGAACAAGCTGGAAGATGCATCTAATGAGGTAACACTTGCACTGTTTGGTTGCATACATATAGCCTTCGGCCTGTACCAGTACGTATTCCTTGCTTGTTACAAAGGTCAAAAAGATTGGGAATGTTGAACTGACAGCTTCACAGATACAAAAAATAATAAATTATCTTTCACTGTTCTTTCTTTAAGTGTGGCCTAAAGTCATGTCTCACTTATGTTTTTGTAAGTCTTCAGTCACACTATTATTTTCAAAATTATAAAGACTCTATCACTTCTTGATCTTCATAATTTATCTGTTTTAATGAAAACACTATGCAAGTAGTTTAAGTTAATATGTACTGTATTTAAATGTTAATGTGTTTTTACAACGTTTGGTATAGCTACTGGAAATTTAGGTTTTGTCAGTGTTTTAGGTTAAGATTTCTACAAACTGTGGAAGTCTTAATAAAAAAGAGAGAAATTAGTTTTCATTCTCTAAAGGGAGTAAAGTGTTAAAAAAAAAAAAAAAAAAAAAAAAAAAAAAAAAAAAAAGAAGTTTTTAAAAAACAAATATCTGTTTGATGTAGCCTGGGAGCTTTTAGTTTGCTGATTGAAAAAGCTCATGCTTCTATTTATCATCTCATTTGTATTGTTTAATGTGTGGGTTGATAATTTTCTTGGGTATTAAAATGTTTTATGAATTTGTGCTTTAAAAATTGAAGAGTTTGTCTAGTTACATCTTGTCAAATTAGCATATGAAGTAATTACATTAAATACAATTAGTTAGCAAAGCAACAAACAGATTGTTAGAGTCAAAGACAAGTCACGTAGCATGGAATTTGGAGTTTATCCTTGTGTTTATCTCTTTCTTTCATATAATATAAACGCCACAAAACGGTTACATTTCACATTTCAGATGTGGCTTATTTTATTTTAGCTTGCTAAGATGAACAAAGAAGGAAAAGTGAGTCTTCTTAATACCCTCGGTAATTGTTCAAAAGGCATAAAAGAAAATGACCATCGAAATAATTAAATTTCTATGAAGAACAAATATTATGAAGTCTTTCCCAGTGAGACAAGACAACCTGTATTGTTAGTAGTTTATGAAACTCTTCTGAGGCCTAGGTCTGGAAGCTGCAGGGTAACTAGGAACATATTACCCACAGCGAATTGTTATTTGGGAGGATGAATGTCACATGATCCTCAGCACAGTTGAAAAGTCGACTCAGCAGGCTTTGGCTTAGTAATGCGCTTTGTTGTGAACCAGTGCCAGAGACAGCAGTGGGGAGACCAAGGGGGTGGCTGCAAAGAAAGCAAAAAGAGCAGTCTGACAGAAAGAAGAATGAACTGTCAAAGAAAATAAATCACAAGCGGTGCAGGACCAACTGATGACCTGCCACAAGCCTTCCCAGTAGGACTGCATGTGACCGACCCTGAAGTTGTCATATGGAGTGAGAGACCAGTGAATACCCTCATGATGTATAGAAAGAACAGTCTTCTGCTCTGTTCTCTTTTCTTTACTTGTAGATGCCCCTGCTTCTGGCATTTTGGTCCAGTAGGATTTTAAGAATAAAGTTGTATTTGTTTACAACAAGAATGAAATCCTTTATCTGAATGTGTGGTAAAAATACAGTAACATCAGTGATATTTTAAGCTTGAATGCTTTCTTTTCTTTTTAGCTATGTGAACTTGTGACAGAAGCTATATAGTATTTAACCAAAAGAAATAATTTTTTGAAGACTCTGAATTACTATTGAAAAATTTATATTTAAGTAATTGCATAAAAAGCACTTAAAGATTAACTTTTGAGGTACTCTCCTTGAAAAATGTAAAAAAGTTACTTACATTTTCTTTCATCAGCTAAACAGCATGAACGATGCTAGGGAAAAGGCATGTAATGAACTTGATTCTACGAAACAGAAGATAGACTCTCACACTAAAAATATAAAGGTATTATTTAGAATAACTTTTACCTTTTGTATTAAGAAACAAATGTAGTTATCTAGGGAATATTTTAAAGTAGAGATATTGAGGTACCTGAAAATATATATTTGTATTTTTAAAACTATGTATGGATAGAATTTTAATTTTTTCTTGTTGATTAAGAGTAACAAGAATGTTTTTTTCATTTAAAAAATTAAAACTTGATTGGAAATTGTTTTGGTTAAAGGAAAATTTGTTTCCCAGATTCAATAATAATACCTTATGAGATTCAAATAATTATTTAAGATGAAATGTCCAGCCTTAGGTACATATTAAACATATTTTACATAAGCACATCCGTATTTGGAGTCAGTTTTCATCATTTTAGGGTGGAGCCATTGTTTTCAGTACATCGTGTCTGTTAATGGGCTGAGACCACACCTGGCTAAGGCCCAGGACTATAGTTTATTTTAGTTTCTGTGCTGGTTTTATGTACTACATCTTTGCAAAATTATACTGAGTCAGCTCTCAGAAGTTTCTCAGTATTGCTGGAATTTTATTTTGTTGTTTCATGTTGGGTTTGTCATGGACACACTTCAATAGAATTTGTTAGGTTTAAGGAATAAACAGTTCAGCAGAACTTTGTGCCACATATTTGAGATTTCTATAAGTGGTTGGCATGTCATTGGAAAGTAAATGTGCTTATATTAAATGTAAGATATTTATTTTAAAATATTTAAAAAATTTTGAACTACAACATTGTTTTAAAAAAATAGGTTGAAAGGAAACTACCTTGAAAGAACTTTTTGGAATAAGTCATCATATTAACATTTTATATAAATGTTTAAACATAACAAATGTTCTAATTTTTGAGCTAAGATATTATATTTAGAAAATACATTCAGTAAAATATTTTAATGTAAACAGATGCTTTCCTGCCTTTGCGATTCTTTCATTGTAAAGCTTTGAAAATTTTCAATATGTATTTTATACTAGTGTCCCCTCACCCCTTGTTGGCTGGCCTTTCTACAATCTCTTTATTTGGTATCTATGACAGGAACTTCAGGATAAACTGGCTGATGTCAATAAAGAGTTAAGTCATTTACGCACTAAATGTGCAGACCGAGAGGCTTTAATCAGCACTTTAAAAGTGGAACTACAAAATGTGCTGCACTGTTGGGAGAAAGAAAAGGCTCAAGCAGCCCAGTCTGAAAGTGAACTGCAGAAGCTTTCCCAGGCTTTCCATAAGGATGCTGAGGTATTACCTGAGACTCAATGACTGTCAGGAAAGGCCTTTCACTAATCTCAGTGTTATACATCAAGTGACTATTTTTACTTGTATTTAATTAAGAAAATTGTTCTGAGCAGAGTATTTTGAAATGTTCGTGACAGCTGCAAAATCACTCACTTGTCATTCTTGTGTCATTCTCTTGTGAGACAAGTACTGTAACTTGCACAACTCATTTTCTTGGTTATCGTTTGTACAACTATCTTTTTTGACTTTTAGAACATTGTAACTCAAGTAACTATGCTCCTAACAGTCCTTTCAAGGTTTGCCTGTTTGCCAATGACAAAATTATTTTTTATTTTATTAGCTTGGTAGATTGATATGATGGAAAGAATAAGTATTTTATAATCAGATAGACCTGAACTTGGATCCTGATACTTCTGTTTATACATGGTTTGGCTGTGGACAAGCTATACAACTTAGCCTCTCCACATCTTAGTTTTCTTATTTATTTTTTTTCTTTTTTGAGACAAAGTCTTGCTCTGTCACCCAGGCTGGAGTGCAGTGGCGTGATCTGGGCTCATTGCAACCTCCACCTCCCAGGTTCAAGCGATTCTCCTGCCTCAGCCTCCTAAGTAGCTGAGATTACAGGTGTCCACCACCATGCCTGGCTAATTTTTGTATTTTTAGTAGAGATGGGGTTTCACCATGTTGGCCAGGCTGTTCTCGAACTCCTGACCTCAGGTGATCTGCCCACCTCGGCCTCCCCTCCTAAAGTACTGGGATTACAGGCCTGAGCCACTGTGCCCGGCCTAGTTTCCTTATTTATAAAACAGTAATAATATCTACTTTAACAGATAGCCTCCTTACTCTGTATGATTATAGGATGTTAATAAAATTTAGAAAAATAAAATCCCATAAAATTAAAACTTTTCATTTAGACGCCCTGGAGAGTTGCCTATCCATTTGTGTTTATTAATGGCTTATAAAAATATTATGACACAAATTTCATATTTCGTATGAGCCTGTGTGAATGGAATTATCTTCTAGTTCTTTTTACCCTATGGATTATAGAGCTAGTCTAGCTAGTGGAACTGGTTTGTCTAAGTCATCCTGCATATTGAGTTCATTACTCCGACAAATGCGAACATGAATGCCAAGAGAGTAAAAAGGAAACATTCTTTCCACTCTTTTTACAGTCTGGGATTTAAATTGTGTCCACATGAAGGGGTTGGAATTGCTCTACACATCAGATAATGATTAAAGTAAAGGAAACTAGAAGCCTGACTGTATTGTAAAGTCAGCATGTCTACAGCACTGTGGTTGGGTTCAACATGTGTGAATTGATTTTGGATTTTGGAGTCTCTTTTCATGCCAAATGGATGATTATCATGCTTGGTTTATCACAGCCCAAGCAAAAAGGACATAATAGCGACACAATGAATTATCCTTAAGGATGAACTTCCTTGAGAACGAATGTGATCAGTAGGCAAAACACAGGAGGAAGATTTTTATGTATTTTTAAGTTATATTTAATAAGACTTTAAAACATTTTGTCCTAGTTAATAAATGCGAAAGTCATCATTAACTGCTTATGAAAAGGCATAGCATATTTGTGAAAAAATCTGATTTCTTAAATTTGTTGTTGTAACTACATTTTCACATTTTTTGTTTTTTAAATTATTGCTTTTGGAAAAAAAGGAAGGTGGCATACATAGTGAACTAAAGATTTACATTTTGATATTTGTAAGAAAATATTCTCTATAATTTCTAATTATAAAACTTTTGCATATGCTATATTCAGTTTTTAAAAAATGTATAATAGACTTTCTAAATTTTCTTTTTAAATTTGTCCCTTTTAAAAGTTTCTTCCTGCTGATCTATTAAAAAATCTTGAGGGAACTTTTTTATCTACATAAAATAAAAATATTCATTTTGCAGCTTCACAGTTACCTTGTCTTTGAGTTCCATGCTTTGGGACTTTACAGATGAAACACCTTATAAAGAGAGCTATTTGACATTATAGTAAATAAACCCTCCTCATGTGTTCAAATGTGATCTGCTTTATATGAATTCTGCAGCATAGTGTTTCTAAGTCATTCAGCAATGGATAGTTTAATTACTGAAGTGGTAATATAATTTTAAAGGACTTTTAAAAAACATATTTCCAATTGGACATTTTCAAAAGTATGTCTTAAGCAGCTATATCCATTTTTTTTTTTGCTGTTACTTTATAATATTTAAACATCTACAAATGCCCAGTGTGCCAAATACTATATGAACTTATAAGTGGGGAAAACAAATGAGCCCATCTTCCATATCTTTCATATCACTATCTGCTTTGCCTAAGGGGCTTGGGATAGATTTCCTATAAGTAGTAAGTAAACTGGAATCTCTGGAGGAAGAAGAAAGCTGAGTAATTGTGTCCATGTAAAGTACAGATATTGGTATAACTTTTTTTCATCAGAGTTGAATAACACTGTTTTTTTCTGTATTGTTTTTTGACAAGTAGTATCTATTTTGGCAAATGTAAATATTAAATTATAGAATTACCATACTGAGTTACAGTTAGATAGGCTTATAAACAATGAGTCCAATCCAGACACTTCGTGTGATAGCTAAGGAAACTTAGGCCTGAACAGGTGTTTACTCAAATCACAACCTCATCAGTAGCAGAGCTGGGAATGAATCTTGGTCTTCTGGCTTCTAGACTCAGATTTTGATTTTGAATACCAAGTATAAGCAGTTCCAAATGTTTTATCTGGTGCTTAGTTTTGAATATAAAAAAGTCATTAAAATATTCTGAGACTTGAGTATTATAATTTCCTTTTCAGGTTTTTGAAATTAACTCTTCACCATTTGTATTATGTATTTTACTTCTTACAATGTTTATACACAGCAAATAATTTTTCTTTTTTTTTTTTCCTGCAGGAGAAGCTAACCTTTCTTCACACCTTGTATCAGCACTTGGTAGCAGGCTGTGTGCTCATAAAACAACCAGAAGGCATGCTGGATAAATTCTCTTGGTCTGAGCTTTGTGCGGTCTTACAGGAGAATGTTGATGCCCTGATTGCAGACCTCAACAGGGCTAATGAGAAGGTAACTGTCCTCAGGCACCAGATACCTCTATTAAATTCAGTGACATTTGTCCACATCACAGTATCATTAAGAGGGGCTGACATTCATCTTATTTCAAAAAGAATTTGGATGTTAATAATTCAATACCATTAATTATGGCTTGTCTACAACTCAGTTTGATGCCATTGCTGTGGGCATGTAAATGTGACTGAAGTCTGTATGAAGTCTCTAAGCTCCACTTTCTGTGCAGGACATGCTAATACTACTAGCCAGTATTAGCCACAGGGACCTAATTAAAAGAAAATAAATTAATCTTACTGATGAAGCAATTCAAAGAACTTAGTCATTTACATTAATAAACCAACTCTTTATGTTAGCATAAAATAGAAACAGGATACAGTTATTCAAAAACATGATCTTAAAATTCTTTACTTAGGAAATATAAGGTGTTATTTTTAAAAGCACTTAAACATTTTAAATTATATGCTTATGATTTGCTTTTCGAAATACAACAAAGTGTGTATTAGGAAACTCGTTCCGTGCTTTAGAATGCAAAAAGTGTATTTTATAGGAGAATATAGTAGACCTTTATGGTAACATTACTATCTCACAAGTCTAGGAAATCAGTCTCCAGCAAATATACCAAAACCTGTTTTGGTTATAGAAAATTACAGTGGCTTAGCAGATCAACATATACCACCATTGAAGACATTGGTTCTGATCCTGGGTCTATTGAACGTGGTCAGTACTGTGTTTATGTGGTTTAGTTTCCAGGTCTTAGTTGCAATGACATTTGCTCTTAAGGAACAAGAAGAGAAAAACTGTCCTGTAAGTTAAAAAAAATTCTGTTGAAGTGATAAAACAGCATATTGACCTAATTTCAGGGTGATTTTTTTTATTATTGAGCATTTTATCTTGGTCCTATTGACAAACACAACCATAGACACTGAGATGTAGGGCTAAGAAATGAGGGTGTAAATTGTGAGAGGCACAGATGCTATTCATGATTGTGAATGTGTACATAATGGATTTGAAAATTGAAGATAATTAAAATGAATGTATTTTAACCCTATGAGATGGTATTATATTTTTAATAGTTTTCATTGTTTCAAAACATCCTTAATAGTCATACATTTTAGAAAATGATGATTTTCTTTCCAGTGTTTGAATATGAAACAAAAAATGGTTAGAACATTCTGCTTTATTTTATGCAAACTGCTTGCAGATTTTTATATCTTTACTTTCTTTCCCGCTGAGATATTTGAATAGCTTGAGCCTTGGTTCCAGAAGTAACAGTATCTTTCTCAGTGTCAATCAAATTAATTATAGAATAAGTAACTTCATTAGAAAGAGAAGATGAAAAATTTGCCATCTAAGTATACAAATAACACAATTTTCTGCTAATGTATGGCAGTTTACCCTGTTATTTTCTTTTTTAAAATTTATTTACATTCTATGTTAAAATTTTTATATGATCTTAAGGAATAAAATATAGTAGGACATTTTGGGTGTTTTATTAGGGGAGACGACACAAAGAAATAGCTTGTGAGCATATTTTCTTCTCTGTTGCATCTCCCCATATAGATAAGCCATCTAGAGTATATCTGTAAAAACAAGTCTGACACGATGAGAGAGCTTCAGCAGACTCAGGAAGACACCTTTACCAAAGTGGCAGAACAGATCAAAGCCCAAGAGAGCTGCTGGCACAAACAAAAGAAGGAACTAGAGCTGCAGTATTCTGAACTCCTCCTGGAGGTGCAGAAGAGGGCACAGGTATGCTACCTTTACAAAGGGCTTAAAAATGGGTTACTCAGTGTAACCATTAGGAACTTTTTTTTTTCTAGTAGCAATGCTAAATCGGTTACGTCTTAAGAACTTCATAGAACTTGTTTAGATGCACATATATATGTTTAGATACACATATGTGTGTGTGTATGGGTGTGTATATTAAGGATTGTCTTTCATGTAAGTTTGGAAATATATGGGTTTCTGATTAAAATATCCCAAAATGCATTGATCAGTTAATTAAATGCTAAAATTATATTTCCTTTATTTATTTTTAAAATAAAAGATTAAAGTATTTGGTAACATATTGTCAATTTTAGTGTAGGTATTCCTTTATCCAGTTTACTCCATTTGTGGAGGTTCCTATGTGAACCATCATTTAAATTTATTTGGGTTAAAATCTCTTATGCCTACTGACATTATATAAGAACTAGTGATATCGTTGTAGGCCATGTAGCAAAAGTAATTCACTATGAGTTGTATTATGTATTATATCTTTTTTTTTTTTTTTTTTTTTTTGAGTCGGAGTCTCGCTTCGTCGCCCAGGCTGGAGTGCAGTGGCCGGATCTCAGCTCACTGCAAGCTCCGCCTCCCGGGTTTACGCCATTCTCCTGCCTCAGCCTCCCGAGTAGCTGGGACTACAGGCGCCCGCCACCTCGCCTGGCTAATTTTTTGTATTTTTTAGTAGAGACGGGGTTTCACCGTGTTAGCCAGGATGGTCTCGATCTCCTGACCTCGTGATCCGCCCGTCTCGACCTCCCAAAGTGCTGGGATTACAGGCTTGAGCCACCGCGCCCGGCCTTATGTATTATATCTTGATTGAGAGTAGAAGTTATGGGTTGTTAACATAACCATGTATTTTTCTTTTGTTTTTTTTGTTTGTTTTTTGAGGCGGAGTCTCGCTCTGTCACCCAGGCTGGAGTGCAATGGCTGGATCTCAGCTCACTGCAAGCTCCGCCTCCCGGGTTTACCCCATTCTCCTGCCTCAGCCTCCACCTCGCCTGGCTAGGTTTTTTTTGTATTTTTTAGTAGAGATGGGGTTTCACCGTGTTAACCAGGATGGTCTCGATCTCCTGACCTCGTGATCCGCCCGTCTCGGCCTCCCAAAGTGCTGGGATTACAGGCTTGAGCCACCGCGCCCGGCCAACCATGTATTTTTCTACACAAATTATCATCAACATTATTTATATCGTTAACTGTCATCTTCACGTAATCAGGAATAACATGATGATAGGGTATAATTTTTTGGCATTGAATTTATTAATAGGTCACTTTTGTTCCTAAGTTAGGATACTTACAAACCAGAAGGTTGTATATTCTTCTTCCCATGGTTGATTCAGTATTTAAGCCTCTTTATTTGATCCATTCGTGCTTGGCAAGTCTAATTAAAAATAACCAAACTATATAAATATATATACATACACATATATAAATACAATTATTATTATTATTATCATATTAAATCGGGCCATTCTGCATCCCCAGATTTAAAGGTACTGTATGAACTTATGCCTTTCTATATGAATTTGAATGAATCAACAAATGTACCATCTGAAAGTAGTAATTTTTTCATTGTATGCAGACTACTATATTATATGCTCTGCATTTTCTAGTATTGAAGTAAAAGACCTAAACAATTTATTTTAATTTTGTAGAGGTAGCACTGATATATAGTGACATGCACAGATCTTAAGTATATAATTTGATGTTTTTAAAAAGTGTTTATTTGATATATAATATTTGTACATATTTATGGGGTACATGTGATATTTTAATACATGCATAGAACGTGTAATGCTCAAGCCAGAGTAAGATAACGATCACCTTGAGCATTTATCATTTCTTTGTGTTGGGAACATTTCAAATTTTCTCTTCTTGCTATTGTGAAATATACAATATGTTGTTGTTAATAAAGTCACCTTACTGTGCTTTTGAACACTAGACCTTATTCCTTCTAACTGTATAATTGTACCCTTTAACCTACCTCTCTCCATCCCTTTCCTCCCCCAACACACCCTTCCTAGACTGTGGTAACTACAATTTGATGTTTTGATCAACGTAAATACCCATGTGATCATTACCCCATTTAATACTTCAAACATTTTCATTACCCTAGAATGTTCTCATGTTCTCTCTTCCAGTCAGTTTTATGCCTCATAGGCAACCATTGTTCTGATGCCTGTCATCGTAGATTAGTTTTCACCTGTTCTTGAATTTCATGTAAGTGGAATCATTCAGTAGTCTGGTGTTTGACTAATTTCACTCAATATTAATGTTCTGAGCATAATGTCATTTATGTTGTTGTATGTATCAGTACTTCATTCTTCTTTATGGTCACATAGCATTCCATTTTATCACAGCACCCCTATTTGATGGATTGTGTGTTGATGGATATTTAGTTGTTTCTGTTTTTTAGATATTGTAGATAAAATTGCCACAAACATTATTGTACAAGTCTTTTGTCAACATATGGTTTTATTTCTCTTGGTTAATTACTAAAGTGCAGTTGCCAGGTCATAGGATATATGTGTATTCGTAAGAAACTGTCAAAAGTTTCTAAAAACAGCTTGTGCCATTTTTTATTTCCACCAGCAAAATATGTAAGTTTCCATTGTTCTACATCCTCTGCAGCGCTTAGTATTGTCAGTCTTTTAAATTTTAGTCAATATAGTGGTTTTAAAATGGTGTTTCATTGTGGTTTAAAGTAACATTTTTTTGGTGATTCATGATGCTGAGCACCTTTCATATACTTATTGGCTATTCACATATCTTCATTTGTAAAGTGTCTCTTCTACTGTTTTCTCATGTAAAAAATAGTAATATTTGTGTTTTTATTATTGATTTCTAAGCATTATTTATATATCCTGGATGCATATCCTTTGTCATGTATATGCATTGCAATCTTTTCTATGAATCTCTTGCTTCCCTTTTCAGTTGTTTCTTTTGTTGATCATATAAGTTTTAAAATTGTGATGAAGTCCAACTTATAAATCTTTTTCTCTTTTGGCTATTTATTTATATATGTGAAATGATTTTTCCTTACCTCAAGGTTGGGAAGATAATCTCTTGTTTCTTCTAGAAGTTTCATAGTTTTAGCTTTTACGTCTAAGTTTGTGATTCTTCTCAAATTAATTTTTGTGTGTGATGTTAGGTAGAGTTTCATTTTTTCCCCCTTCATTTATTGTTCCCACATCACTTGTTCAGCACTTTCCTAGCTGAATAGCCTTGGTACCTTTGTGAAAAAACAGTTGGCCGTACTTAGAAACCACAGACTTGTCCATCTATATAGTTTTGCCCTCTCCAGAATGTCATATAAATGGAATCATACAGTATATAGCCTTTTGGGTCTGATTCCTTTTACTTAGCAAAATATATTTGAGATTCAGTCACATTGTTGCATGTATCAGTAGTGCATTCCTTTTTACTGCTGAATAATGTCCCATTGTATGGCTGTAAAATTTTATCCAAATACTTGCTGACGGGCCTTTGGATTCCTTTTTTTTTTTTTTTTTTTTGACAATTATAAGTAAAGATGCTTTAAACATCCATGAAAAGGTTTTTGTGTGATCATAAATTTTCATTTCTCTTGGGTAAATACTTACGAGTTTGATTTCCAGATTGTATGGTAAGTATATATTTATATGGTTATATGGTAAGTGTAACTTAAGCAACTATTAAATTGTTTTTCAAAGTGACTGTATCATTTTGCATTCTCACTAGCAATGTAAGAGATTTCCAGTTGCTCTGCACCTGTGCCAGCGTATGGCTTTATCATTTTTTTCTTTTGAATTGTATCCATTATAATAAGTGTGTAGTGCCATGTCATTGTGATTTCGATTTACATTTTCCCCACTGCCTAGTAAATTAATCATTTATTTATGTGTTTATTTGCTATTTGTATATCTTTTCTGGTGAATTATCTTTCAGATATTTTGCTCAGTTTTTAATTGGATTGTGTGTTTTCTTATCGTCAAAGTTTGAGAGTTGTTTACATATCGCAGGTTCAAGTCATTTGTCAGATAATGTGATTTGTAAATATTTTCTGCTGTTCTGTTAGCAGTACTTTTGCAAAGCAAATGTTTCAAATTTGGATGACCCACTTATCAGTTTTTTTTTTATGGATTATACTTTTGATGTTACATGTAAGAACTCTTTGACTAAGATTATAGGCATCAAGATTTTCTCCATTTTTTTTCTATATGTTTTATAGTTTTAGGTTTTACATCTAGGTCTATGATCAGTTTTGAGTTAGTTTCTGTAAAGGTTTGAGGTATGGATTAAGGTCAGTTTTTTTTTTGCATATTCATGTCCATTCCAGTACCATTTGTTGAAATCACTGTCCTTTATTGAATTGCCCTTGCACTTTTATCAAAAATCAGTTCAATGTTTGTGTCAATCTACCTCTAGACTTTCTTGTCTATTCCAATTATTTATGTGTCTAATTCTTTTTTTTTCAATACTATACTGATTTAATCACTCTAACCTTTTACTAAGTCTTAAAATCAGGTAGTGTGAGTCTTCCAACTTCTTTTTTCATCAATGTCCTGAACTGTTTGAAATCTACAAGAAGGCATAGCAATTCACTTTTTACTCTTTTCAAAAATAAAATAAAATAAAATAAATTGGTGTATATTCTGTATTGTTTACCTACATATTTGCATTTTTATCAAATATAATTGAATATACTGCAGCAATTTATTTTGGTATTGTATTTGATAAGCTGTTATTATAATACATATTATAAGACCTGTAAATTTTATTTTAGGAAATTTTATGATTAATTCTATATTTTTTACCCCCAAAAGTGCAATGCAAATAAAAAAAATTCATTTTACATTACTTAATACATTTTCAAAAATTATGTTGATAAGGACACGAGAGGGAAAATATCCCCAGTTGTTATATAGGATTGTGAGTTATAGAGGATGTTTGGTGTCATGAGCATAACCCTCAGTACGTTCCATCTGCTGGGAAATAAATAACTTATT